AGCCAAAAACCACTATAAAGCATGGTTCAATTTGCTCCAACAGGGGGAAAAATTCCTTCCTGATCCCATAGGGCAATTGGTTATTCCCTGGATCAACAACCTCTGGTGCTTAATATACCTATAAGAACTCAATATCCAGTAATATTCTGTGCATTTAGGAATACATCTAGATTTTGTTTTTTGTTTTTAAACAGTTAACGGAGCTAGCTAGAACCACTCCTGGGGGAGAATCTGTGAAGAATCCTTTCCATATGCAAAGGTTAAACCTCTTTTCCTCCAGACACAAAGAGTGCCCCCTTGTCCTGCTTGCTTTAGAAACTACGGCTTGACATTGCATGCTATTATTGAGTCTATGGTCTACCAGTACACCCAGATCTTTTTCCATCATTGACTCCCCCAAACATACTTCCCCTAGAGCCTTGGTTCTCAACTGGTGAGTTGTGACCCAAAAGTGGGTCGAGATCCCATGTTCGGTGGGTCACGACCCCGTGTTCAGTGGGTCGCTGCGTGCCTTCCACTTTTCAAGGTAAGAGGCTCCTCAGCCTCTCCCTCGTGCAGCACTGTCAGTTCTCGTGCCAAGCAGCAATTTAAAATATGCTGCCTAGCTCCGAGTGTCAGCTCTCTTGCATGCCCTGTAGAGGTGCCTGGACTGGAATGATGTCACATTCTGGCTCCTGGCACCTCTACAGGGCATGCAAGGGAGTTGTACAAGCAATGCACAAATGGATGGAGCTCTGTCACAGCACAGCACAGCAGCCCACACTGGACCCAAGGATGAGGATCCACTCCAGTTCTCGTAAGGTAGGGAAACTGTGCAGATCTTAAAAAAAAAAAAAAAAAAAATTTTTTGGAGTGTGTATGTCCGTGTAAGAATGTCTGAGTGTGTGAGATTGTGTCTGTGGTTGTGTGTGTCTGTCAGTGTTTTGAGGGCCTGTTTACACTAGTACAATGTGCGGTGAACAGTCAAGTGCGATTAACGCACTTACTTACTACGACTTCTGGTGCAGGAGGTGCATTGCGTTGCCATTCATTTGAATGGCATCCCAAACGCACCTCCCGCCCACAGTTCAATAGTCTGCACCGGAATGCGCGATACCACAATGCTGTGCATTCCAGGGCAGTGTGACTTGGGTTGCGATTTATTGACTTAAGGACAAATTCGAGTCCTGAGGTTACACAGGTTGAGAACCACTGCTCTAGAGTGTATGACGCATGCATGTTTTTAGTCCCCAAGTGCATAACTTTACATTTATCAAAATTAAACCTCATTTGCCAAATAGATGCCCAATCACACAGTGCATTCAAATCTGCTTGTAAATTGGAGACATTTTGTAAGGACTGTATTCCACTACATAACTTGGTGTCATCTGCAAACACAGAAATGGTACTCTATGTCTATGTCATTTATAAATAGGTTAAACAGTAAGGGGCCCAACACTGAACCTTGGGGGACACAACTAACAACCACAGGCTATTCAGAGTATGAATCATTGATCACCATTATCTGAATATGATCTTTAAGCCAGTTTTCTATAGACATGTGCACCTGCAAAAAATGTGTTTCGTTTCGATTCAGATTTTGCGTTATTTCATTTATAGGGATTTGGGTCCGAAAGTCAATGGGGGGAATTTATCAAAGCAATTACGACAGTTTTAGCGTCTTAGATCATTTTTTTATGTGCAAATCTGTCTTTTAACATGTGCCCATGTTTTCACCTGAGCTTGCACTACTTTTCCAACGGCATATGTTTTGCCCAAAGCTTGCACTACTTTTCCAACTGCACATGTTTTTTGCACATGTTTTGCACATGTTTTGTACCTGTTTTCTTCAGAGCTTGCACTACTTTTTCAACTGCATGTTTTTTGCACCTGTTTTCATCTGCACCTGTTCCGGGGCTGTATGAAACTGGAGCATCACCTAAGAAAACAGTCACAACTTAAGAAATCCCCGTAACCACTTCTTCAACATGCGACAGTTAAGCTTTTTGCCTGAAGTTAGAAGTCTTTTTTGCTGGAGTGTATTAAACCTCATTTATCAACAACATTACAGTAGCTTGATAAATCTGGTGCAAATATATTCTGTGCAAGTTCAAACACTCGCAATTGCTATGATAAATTCCCCCCAACATGGCTAATGAAAATGACATTTATTATCAAGCCTTAGACTGCATTGATAAATAAGGTGCAAATAACGTGGAAAATTTGTCACTTAAAGAAAAGAGGAGCAACTCACTTGATAAATTCCCCCCAATTAGTTTCGGGATTCGGATTCAGACTAAATTAGTTAGCGGTAGTCTGTACGGATTTTCGCTTGTGGACAAATTTTCGTTGCAGCAAAGTGACATTAAAGAAAAAACCGCTGATGAATTTTGTACGAAATTTCGTTTTCGGATTCGTTTTCATTTGTCATTTCTGTTATTTGGATACATCCGAATCTCCGAATAAGGAAAATTCTTCTGAAAAACTAATTTTTTCGAATCGAATCGCACATGTCTAGTTTTCTATCTAATTACAGATTGAATACTCTATACCTACAGACCTTAACTTATTCAATAGACGTCTGTGGGGAACTGTGTCGATTGCTTTTGCAAAGTCCAAGTATACCATATCCACAGCCATTACTCTGTCCAATTTATTACTCACTTCCTCATAAAATGGAGTAGATTTGTTTGACAACTTCTATCTTTTGTGAATCCGTGCTGACTATCGCTTATAATATTATTTTCAAGCAAATACAAGTGCATGTGATCCTTGATCATACTTTCAAGTACTATCTTCCCAACTATTGAAGTTAAGCTTACAGGTCTGTAATTACTTGGTAAAGACTTTGATCCCTTTTTAAATATAGGCACCACATTAGCCTTGCGCCAATCCATCGGTACCAAGCCAATCATTAGAAAGTCTCTAAAAATTAGATACAATGGCTTTGAAATGATATAGCTCAATGCTTTGAGGATACGTGGGTATAAGCCATCCGGTCCAGGTACTTTGTTCACCTTAATTTTGTCTGTTTCTGGACCATATCAATAGTCAGCCATTGTGGTTCATTAGAGGCTATGGCACTGCCATCCCCATTAAGGATTTGCTTACATTCTGTTCCTTGGTGTAAATTTGCTCTCCTAAAGTGAATAATAAAGCCAAAGTGAAGTGAGCGGAACATCGGCTAAAATCAGCCGTACATCGGCTGAAATCAGCCGTACATCGGCTGCCTTCGACTGCCATCGGTCAGCCGAACATGCTCTGCATGTTCAGCTGAGCCAAAGTGTAGATGGAGTTCTACTCAGCCAATCCAACATCTGGATCAGCTGAGCCGAAGCTCCGGCAGCTCACTCGCTGCCGTTCGTCCCTATTCTCATAGGGGCTGAACAGCAGTGAGTGAATAGCCGAATGCCGAATGAGCGGCATTCGGCTCGGCTATTCTGCTCGGTACCTTGGAGGTACCGGGCAGAATAGAAAATAACTGAAAAGAATGATTTTTTTATTTAATTGAAAAATAATTGAAAAAATGTTTAAAAAAAATAGGAAAATGAAAACATAAATAAAAATATTTTGAAGAAAAAAAAATAATAATAATAATAATGAAAAAAAAAGCAGCCATATGCAGGCAAATATGCCGACATGACATATGCCGGCAAAAGAAAAACAATTGGGACAGAGCCCCAGGTGACAGCTAGCTCCACCCAACTGTTTCCTATTGGCCGGCACCTGACAGAGTCTTCTAGCAGGTCCCAGCCAATATACAACAACTGGGCGGAGCCAGTCGTGACGTCATGGCCGGCTCCGCCTAGTTGTTATTGTTTAATGACAGATCAGCGTCCCCAGGTCACTTGGGGACACTGATCTGTCATTACATCTGGGTGGGGTGAGACGTGAGATCACGGCTGGCTCCACCCAGCTGTCATTTGAGTAGAGATCGGTCGACTTCGACTGACCTTTCTCCACGCTTCAGCTATTGTGAATAGCCCGTACAGCAGCCCTTTGGTTAGACTGAACCAAAGGGCAGAAGCGGCTGAAGAGAGCCGAAGGATCAGCCGAAGCAATCCGATGTACGGGTGATTTCCGCCGATGTACGCTGCTCCCACTCGCTGGCCATTGTGGGTTTGTTTACATAATGAGATTGTATCTCTTCTTGCAGTTCTCAACTGAATTGGAAATGCTAATTTATGAACACTTCTGAGTTCAGTGCAGTGTTGGGGGAGATTGGTAACATTACTCTGTTTACTTATCTCCTGCAGAGTAAAACTGAATTGAAAGTGCTCATTCACAGTTCAGTGCAGTGCAGGCTGCCTGGGGAGAAGGAGACCTCCCCCCCCCCTTCTCGAGCACAAAGGGATGACAGGAACACATGTTAGACCCCTGATGTCTCATTAGCCTGCTTTTGCATTTTTACTCTCACCAGGTAGTTTGCCTGCTCCAGTTTTGATAAATTCATTGCGTGAAAGCTGCTTATTTATATGATCTGTATAACATGACCCTTTTTTCAGATTTCTTTTCTAATGTTTCTTTTATTTAATTTATTAACGTTAATACAGTTTACTCTTTTAGATTTCCACTCGGAAACATTTATATCCTTAAAGTGACATTAAAGTACTTACCTTAATTGATGCCTCTTGATCCGATCATCTTCTTCTTTTTTGATAAATATGCCTCTTAATATCTGAAATGATAAATATGGCTAATATAATATACATAAGTGCCTAGTTTACCATCCACATCCAGTTAACATATCATGTATAGATATATCACAATTGGTATCAAGATCATTTTTGCAGGTGTATATAACTTTTCATGTCATATGTTTCCGACTTGGTACCTGAAAAGCTTATTCTGCCTCAGCAGCCATTGTCATTCTCACTTTGCAAATTAAGATTAGCAATAGGATCAGACTGGATACTATTTTCTCTTGAACAAAGATGTCATTTTCCAATTTCTAAACTAACATTAAAATAACTACAACAACAATGAAAATATATGTTAACATTGTGTACTATTCTTACTAGGTTTGTGCAAGTTCTGAGAAGGAGCAAAATGGTTTTCTCAACGTGGTCAGTGGGAAGAAAAAGGGCTTTGTACCCATAGATGTTCTGGAAAATATCTGACTGACTTGAATGGTACCATCATCCAAGTTTTCTGGAGATGCTGGTCTGCATCGTGTGGTATCATGACTAAGAAGAGTCACACCGGCCACAGTGGAATGGATACACAGTAGAGAGATAAGAAATTAAAGGATTCCTAGGACTGTCGTAAAACTGAAAATAGACAATAATAGACTATGTAGTAAAGCAGTACAGATTACCGTATGAGTTATCCTCGTGTGGAAAACAAAATGCTGCAGTGGTGATAATCAATGAAGACAAAGCCTCTCTATGTGTCTTAAAAAAGTTGCTCTGCTAAGTGTTACTTTTTAAAGGGCAGTTTCGAAGGACTAGTTTCACAGTTATGTAATTGCCTTTATGGGATGAGCTTCCTTCGTCAGTGTTCTCTTTTGTAACATTGGAGTAATCTATTTACCTCCCTGTACCCATAGTATGAAAATTACATTAGACTGTAAAGCTCTATGGGGCAAAAACTGTGCCTGCTAACATTTCTTGTATACAAAGCAGGATAGGAATATAAATCCTATA